CATGACCACACCAGAGTCTAGTGGTAATGACAGTGGCCTGGCAGTGGCAGCAATGGCCTGGCAATGGCGAAAATTCTAATTTTTAAAAATTTACCCTAGAAGTATTTGAAAAGCTGAAAGATGCAAGGAACTGCTGCGTTAAATTGGGGATGAAAGCCTGGCCACAAGAGGTAAGTATCAGAGCACTAAAACCAGTTTTGCCTTTAAGACATTTGCCAAGACACAAATAGGTTTTGGTTCATCAACTCATGAGCAAGGGGAATGGAAGTCAAGGCCCAGAGTATGTGAAAATTATGAAGACTTAGAGAAGTTGCTCTACACATTGAATGGGGACTCCAAAAGACTGTGCCACTGGGAACTAAACCTGCTTTCCATCCTCCAAACTTCAGGGGACTGTAAAAAAGCTGCTTTGGCAGTGGGCGGACTGAAAAAGGGAAGAAAACACATCCCTGAGAAGATGTGGTCACCCACTAGCTTACTTGCAGATTGACTTCCTGGTTATACCTAGGGTGGTTAGGCCAAGGAATCTCAAACAATGAATTTGGTTTAGGTAATGCTGTCCAGGAACCTAGCAGAAGCAAACATAACAGCTCTTTGGAATCTCACCAAATCAGTTCTCTACAAATAACTCAAGGGCAATAACCACTGTCAGAAGTAACCAAGACTCACAAGAAAACAAGGTAGAGAGCAAGAACTGATGGGGAAAAAAAACTTTTTTTAAGCAGCAGAAATAAATAGGCATCACCAATTAGCATAATTTTCAGACTCAAATAAAAATGTTTATTTAACAGAATAAACAACCTTGAACGATAACAGAGAAGAGTTAAAATCTCCAAGAGCTTTTTTTTTTTGAGTTGGAGTCTCACTCTGTCGCCCAGACTGGAGTGCAGTGGCCGCTCCCGGCCACCGCAGCCTCGACCTGCTGGGCTCCAGCGATCCTTCTGCCTCAGCCTTCCGAGTAGCCGGAATTACAGGCATGGGCTACCACGCCTGGCTGATTTTTTGATTTATTGTAGAGATGAGGTCTTGCTGCCCAGGCGGGTCTCGAACCTGCGGGCTCAGGCAGTCCGGTCACCTTAGCCTCCCAAAGGCGTGGGATTGCAGGCTGAGCCACCGAGCCCAGCTTCCAAGAGCTTTTTGGCAGTAGATTGGATTTAGCGGAGAGGAAACTGGGGAATCAAGATAAATGAGAAAAAAAATAACTTCAGTGCTACACAGCGACACAGTGGTGGAGACTACAGTAGAGAACAGAAAGGTGTGAAAGATTAAAATGTAGGTTTGATGGAAGTCCTAAAAGGAGAAGGAAAAAATGACTGAGAACTTTCCAGACTTAATGAAAGACACCAGTTCACTAGAGTCTAGTAAATCTCAAACAAGAATAATAAAAAGCCGGGCTCGGTGGCTCAGCCTGTTATCCCGCGCTTTGGGAGGCTGAGGTGAGTAGATCGCCTGAGCCCGCAGGTTCGAGACCCTCCTGGGCAACTTGGTGAGACCTCATCTCTACAATAAACCAAAAAAATTCTCCGGACATGGTAGTGTGTGCCTGTAGTTCCAGCTACTCGGAAGGCTGAGGCGGAAGGATCGCTGGAGCCCAGCGGATCAAGGCTGTGGTGCCACTGCACTCCAGTCTGGGCGACAGAGTGAGACTCCAACTCAAAAAAACCCCCAAAAAACAAGAATAATAAAAAGAAACACCTAGACACACCTAGAGAAAATTCTGAAACTTTTTTTAAAAGATTACCTTAGAATGTCTGACTTTTAAAGAACACTAGAAACTGGTGGGATGATATCCTCAGAGGACTGAAAGAAAATAACTGCCTAGATTTCTATACACAGCAAAAATGTCTTACAAGATGAAAGTGAAATAAAGAGTTTTTTTGTTTTTTGTTTTTTGCTTTGAGTTGGAGTTTCACTTCGTCGCCCAGACTGAAGTGCAGTGGCCGCTCCCGGCCACCGCAGCTTCAACCCACTGGGCTCTGGCGATCCTTCCACCTCAGCCTTCGAGTAGCCAGAATTACAGGCACGCGCTACCACGCCCGGCTGATTTTTGATTTATTGTAGAGGTGAGGTCTCGCTGCCCAGGTGGGTCTCGAGCCCACGGGCTCAGGCAATCCACTCACCTCAACCTCCCAAAGGCGCGAGATTACAGGCTGAGCCACCGAACCCAGCTGAAATATATTTTCAAACAAAAAGAATTAAGCAGCAAATCACTAAAGTTGGTCTTAAGGATGGATTTAAGGCAGAAGTAAAGTGAGCACAGATGGGAAGTTTCATATACAATGAGTGAAGAGCAGAGGAAAACAAATACATGAACATGTATATGTAATAATGTTTGTGGGGCTTAATGAGAACAAAGAAAATATAATTGTAAATTGCAAGATGAGAGTGGATGGGAAATGAAGTTAAAGTTTCTAAGGTCTTTGCATTATCCAGGAAGAAATAAAGGTAGACTTTGAAAAGTATATTTCTAGTTTCTGGTTTTGTTTTTTTTTTTGAGTTGGAGTCTCACTCTGTCGCCCAGACTGGAGTGCAGTGGCCGCTCCCGGCCACCGCAGCCTCGACCTGCTGGGCTCCGGCGATCCTTCTGCCTCAGCCTTCCAAGTAGCCAGAATTATAGGCATGCGCTACCACTCCCGGCTGATTTTTTGATTTATTGTAGAGATGAGGTCTCGCTGCCCAGCCGGGTCTTGAACCCGCAGGCTCAGGCAATCCACTCACCTCAGCCTCCCAAAGGCACGGGATTACAGCCCGAGCCACCGAGTTCGGCTCTAATTTCTGAAGTAACCAATAAAATAGAGTAGGAAAATATTATATAATTTTCATACTAATAGGAGTAGAATGGAATGTTTATTACCACTTGTATTCAACAAGCTGATTCTGAAATGTATAAATGTATATAGAAATGCAAAATCAAAGAATAGAATGTTCAGAAAACAAGTGAACAAGGTCAGAGAAAGTTCTCTACTTGATTGCAAGGTTTATTAGGAAGCTATGGTAATAGATTGACATTAATGCAAGGAGAAATATGCAAATGGAACTAATAGGGAACCTGGAAACAGATCCATGCTCTTATTTATGTATAACTGATATATGACAGGTGGCACAGCAGAGAAGAAAAGACTGACCTTTCAGTGCATGCATTCTGTCACAAAATCACTACAGGTGGATTAAAGAAAAGGCAAGACAGATATTTCATAATATAAGATAGGGAAAGATTTTTTAAAACGACCAAAATCATAGCAATAGAGAAAAAATTAATAAATTTACTTAAATTAAAATTTAAAACTTTTGGTCATCAAAAGAAACCATTAAAAATTTGTAAAGAGACAGGCCATGGAAGGGGGAAAGATTTGTAATGTGTTAAATCACTGGCAAAGGGCTTGTATTCAGAGTACAAAAAGAACTCATAAAAAAAAGATAACTCAATAACAAGATTTGAACAAAAAAAGGGAAGTTGAGTAAATACACTAAAATGTATTCACTCTGATATAAGGGAAATGAAATTCATACCACAATGAAATATTGTTACACACCCATCAGATTGGTAATAATTTAAAAATCCAACAGTACCAAGTATTGATGAGGATATGGAGCAACAACAACTCTAATACACTGCTTAGTACAATCTAGATTAAAATTTAAAATTTAGTAGGAAAAGAATTTTTTTTTTTTTTTTGAGTTGGAGTCTCACTCTGTTGCCTGGACTGGAGTGCAGTGGCCGCTCCCAGCCACCGCAGCCTCGACCCGCTGGGCCCCGGCGATCCTTCCGCCTCAGCCTTCCAAGTAGCCAGAATTACAGGCATGCGCTACCACACCCGGCTGATTTTTTGATTTATTGTAGAGATGAGGTCTGGCTGCCCAAGCCGTTCTCGAACTCGCGGGCTCAGGCAATCCACTCACCTCAGCCTCCCAAAGACCCGGGATTACAGGCTGAGCCACTTGTAGTTTCCGGCTAGTAGAAAAAGAATTTAACATTTTCTAATAAGTTGAAAGATACATCATATTCAGTGACTGAGCAATTCCATTATTGAGTATACCATGGAGAAAAACACACTTATGTGCATTGAGGATATTCACAGCAACATTGTTCTTAATGGCCAGAAAACTGTTCATCAAGAATAAAATGGATAGATAATGAATATTATATAACACTAAAAATAAACTTCAGTTATATTTAACAACTAGGGTGGGTCCACAATGTTGAAGGAAAGAAGACACAAGAATACATATAGTATGACTCACTTTATGTACATCTTACATTCAGACAGCTCTAAACTGCATTGTTTACGGCAAGGGTTGGTAAACTTTTAAAGACCACGTAGTAAATATTTAAGACTAAACTGCCACCTGGTCTCTGTTGCAACTATAGCTACTCAACTTTGCCTCTGTAGTGCAAAAGCAGCCCTCAACCAGTGAAGACTGTTCCAACAAGAACCACCTCCTAGTTTATGGGTACATGTATTTGAGGTAAAATTACTTTTGAAAGGAAGGGTCTATGATCAGAGAAGTGTGAATAGGGAGTTTTAGGATGCTGGCAGTGTTCTTGTGTGGTTTGTATGTAGAGGTTGCCTAGGTGTTCTTTATCTTTTAAAGTCTATGTAATGGTTGTACCATAAGTTGCATGTGACAATAAAATAAATTATAAAAAACAAAAAGCGGCAGTGCTTCCTTAAATGATGGTTAATGATTATTTAATTTTATATGGATTTTTGTTTAGTTTGCATTTGAATTGTTCTGCTTGCTTTCTGAAATTTGTGTCAAATATTTCTAAAGTAACTTAAATATTTATATAAGGATATTGTCTTACATATGATTTGTTTTTAAGTCACATAGACATTTAATTAAAATAAAAACAAGATATAGAACACTACTACTTTTGGTTACTAATTCAGGATATGAACATTAGGTTTATGTATTACAGGCTTGAATATGTAGTTTGCAGACATGGCCTGTTCACACCCAAGTATTGACAGCTGTTCTCTTTTTTCTTTTGTTGACAGGCTCAGTAGATGAAGGCGTTACCGAGGGGTTACCTACACTTCAAAGCACGTCTAGCACTAATGCTCATGCAGATGATGATGATCGGTTAGTATTAACATAGTTGGTGGTTACCTTGGAAGGGCTGTGCTTACAACTTTAAATTCAAGCATTTTATCTTGGAATTATATAAGCAGTTTAATTGGGTCTCACTTTAGTATACTTTTCAGAGTTACGAGGTAGCATCAACACATAAATTAGAGCATCTGTACAAGAGTTTTTTGGCATTTCAAACTACCTAAACCGGGCTCGGTGGCTCAGCCTGGAATCCCGGGCTTTGGGAGGCTGAGGTGAGTGGATTGCCTGAGCTTGTGGGTTTGAGACCCACCTGGGCAACTTGGCGAGACCTCATCTCTACAATAAAATTAAAAAATCCACCTGGGCATGGTAGCGCGTGTCTGTAATTCTGGCTACTCGGAAGGCTGAGACGGAAGGATAGCTGGAGCCCAGCAGGTCGAGGCTGCAGTGGCCTGGAGTGGCCACTGCACTCCAGTCTGGGCCACAGAGTGAGACTCCCACTCAAAACAAACAAACAAACAAACAAAAAAACTACCTAGTCTCGTTGCTTTAAATAGTATCTATATCAGGTGTTAAACTGTGGGTTATAGGCCAATTCCAGTTTACCACCTTTATTTGTAAACCAAGTATTATTGGAACACAGCCATGCTCATTTGTTTATATATTGTTTGTGAATGGCAGGGTATAGTGGTTGAAACAGACTGTATGGCATGCAAAGCCAAAATATTTATTATCTGGCCCACTACAAAAAGAGTTTGCCAGCCAGGTACAGTAGCTCACACCCATAATCCAAGCACTTTGGAAGGTTGAGGCAAGAGGATTGTTTGGGAGTTTGAGAACAGCCTGAGCAACATAGTGAGACCTTGTCTCTACAAAAAAATCAAAAAACTAGCCAGGCATGGTGGCCCCCACCAATAGTCCCAGCTACTTGGAGGGCTGAGGCGGGAGAATCGCCAGAGCCCAGGTGGTCCAGGCTGTGGTGAGCCATAATCGTGCCACTGCACTCCAGTCTGAGTGACAGATTGTAAACCCAACCAAAAAACAAATTTTTTTTTTTTTTGCCAAAATTTGATCTGTGTACCCTAATTCTCAAGTCATCGTCAAAATTAACCCTTCCAACTTGATATTTTCACATAAGTGAATTAAGGGAATTTCACATTTAACAAGGCCAAGACAGAACTTTTGATGTTTAACTTTCTACCTGAATTCTCCTTTAACCTTTCTCCCAGTTCATTATGTGATGAGTTAGCATCAACACATAAATTCCTTTAATTTCTCAAGCAAAGCAATTCTCAGAGAATTATTTTTAAATCTTTTTTTTCCCGTACCACTCCCATTCTCCCTCCTCCTATTTAATCCTTAAGCAAGTCCTGTCAACTTTACCTACACAATGTATTCCTGTCTACTTTTCCTATTTGTACTGCAGTCACCCTAGTCTATGATACCATATTCTTTTGCCTTGACAGTTGTCATAGCCTTCATACTGGCCTTTGATTTTATTCTTTCCCTATTCCAAACCATTTTTCATGCACCAGCCAAAATTAACTCTTTTTTAAAATCAGAGCATATCCTTGTCTTAAGCTATAGATTCTTAACATTCTCCATTTATACCTAAAATCTGAACTATAGATAAGACTTCTGTCTAACTTCCTTCAGACCATTTTCTTTCTTGTATACTACAGTAGAGTCATTTAAACCTTCTTTCAGATCCTGGAATACTTCATATTTCTTCCTGCTTTTGGGCCATTCTGGCACTTTAGAACCTTTATTGGAAATGCTTTCTCCCCTGATTTCACATTATTGCCTCTCTCTGGACCTTCAGATTTACTGTCCCTGTATCAGTTCCTATGTCTTTTCTGACCACCAGTGTAAAGCAGCACCAAATCACTATTGGATCCTCCTATTTTAATTTTAAGTATTAATCAGGTTGTTTGTTCTATATTAGGCACTTTGCTGAGTGGTGGGGATATAGAGATGAAATGTATGGTCCTTTCCCTCAAGAATCTCTGTTAAGCCGGGCTTGGTGGCTCAGCCTGTAATCCCGCGCCTTTGGGAGGCTGAGGTGAGTGGATTGCCTGAGCCCCGTGGGTTTGAGACCCGCCTGGGCAGGCGAGACCTCATCTCTACGATAAAGCAAAAAATTAGCCGGGCGTGGTAGCGCTCACCTGTAATTCTGGCTACTCAGAAGCTGAGGCAGAAAGACAGCCGGAGCCCAGCAAGTCGAGGCTGCGGTGGCCGGGAGCGGCCACTGCACTCCAGTCTGGGCGATAGAGTGAGACTCCAACTCAAAAAAAAAAAAAGGAATCCCTGTCAATTTGGGTGGAGGGAGAGGGATTATGGATAAACAAGTAAACACATAATCATAATTATCTGCAACGTTCTGTTGCTCTGCATAGGAGAGTGCCTACTTAAACCTCTGATAAATCAAGGCTTCCAGGAGGAGGATGTGACTTAGCTACATTTCATAAAATGAGTTGGCATTTGATACAGGTTATGTTTATGGAATATGGTGAGAAATCAGGCTCGAAAGGTACATAAATCTCGGATCATGAGAAGTCTTGTATGCCTTGCAAAGGGGTTTAGACTTTATTCTGAAGATAATAGCCATTACAGGATTTTAGACAGGGGACTGATTTCATCAGAGACAACATACAGTGAGAAGGATGGATTAGCATGGTGTGGAGGGAGAGAGTTATTAGTTCAGGTGGGTGTTGAAGGGGACCTAAATTAAAGCAGTAGTTGGAAGGAACAGATGAGCGAGATTATGGGGTGTAAAATAGTTTATGCTGTGTTCTTTGGTTGTATGTCCTTGCTTAAGATGCTACACATTCTGGCCAGTAACATTGTTTTTCTTATTGTTATAAATAAAACTTGTCATCTAACAGTTAAACTGTTTCCAAAAGTATTCAGGTGTTTTATCTTTTGTTTATTTTTGACCAACAGAATATTTATTCAGCTTAAAAATCAGAGTCTGGTTGCCTTCTTTGGCCTGTTTCTTTTTTTTTTCTTTTTTCTTTTTTCCTTTTTAGACTGGAAAATGTTCAATATCCCTACCAACTCTACATTGCTCCTTCTACCAGCAGTACAGAACGGCCAAGTCCAAATGGTCCAGACAGACCTTTTCAGTGTCCAACCTGTGGGGTGCGCTTTACCCGTATTCAGAACCTAAAACAGCACATGCTCATCCACTCAGGTAATGACATCTTCCCTGTGGTTGCATAAGTGACCACTCTAAAATATTTTATTTTGGTGCCCTGTTAAAATAGAAAACAGGGACTTCTGGGTTTAAAAACAAAACTCTAGGAAGTCAAAGGAAAACAGTAACTCAAGTTTATTGCTGAAATGGTACGGTGTCAAAAAGCTATTTGCCAGAGACATTAAGTTCTGATTAAAATAACGTGAAGAGCAAAGCATGATGGCTTATGCCTGTAATCCCACTTTAGGAGGCCAACGCAGGAGGATCACTTGAGCCCAGGAGTGTGGGACCAGCCTGGGTAACATGGCAAGACCCTGTCTCTACTAAAAATAAAAATAGGCTGAGTGTGGTGACTCCGGGACTGAAGGAGGCTGAGGTGGGAGAATTGCTTGAGCCTGGGAGTTCAAGACCAGCCTGGGATAAATAGTGAGACCTCTTCTCTACAGAAAAACTTTTTAAGTTAACTGGGCATGGCAGCATGTGCCTCTGTAGCCCCAGCTACTCAGGGGGTGCTGAGGCAGAAGGTTTGCCTGAGCTCAGGAGGTTAAGGCTGCAGTGAATCGTGAGTGTGCCACTGCACTCAAACCTGGGTGTAAGAATGAGACCCTCACTCAAAGCATGGTGGCACACACTATAGCCCCAGCTGCATAGGATGTTAAAGTAGGACGATTACTTGAACCCAGGAGTTAGAGGCTACAGTAAGCTATGATCACACCATCACACTCCAGCCTGGGTGACACAACCAAGATTCTGTAAATAAAAATAAAGAATATGAGGTGATATGGAATGTGTAATTTGTAAATAAAAAAACATTACATATGTTGGGTATATGTATATATGTGAGAAAGAGAAGTACAAACACAGATGGTAAAGCACATAGGGTTAGAATTATATATGTGGGTGTTCTTTGCACTGTTGTTGTAACATCTCTAAGTTTGAAATTATTCCCAAGTAAAAAGTATTTTTTTAATTTAATATTTTTAATGTCTTCAAGGAGATCAAAGGGGAAAATATTAATATTTTCTTACTAATTTAATTTAAATTCTACAAACCTAAATCTCTGTATCCTCATGAGTCAGCTGTTTTATATCTATACGTATTTTATGTATATAATATGTAAAACGTGTGTGTGTGTGTGTGTGTGTATATATATATATATATATATATATGAGAGATTCTGGATAAATGTGTGGAAGGGATTTGAAAATTAACCATTTAAAGACGACAGGATTCTTATGGGTAAAATCCTGACCTCTGATGGGTAAGAGATCTTTGTTGCTGTTTAAACTCTCTCTCCCCTCGTGTGGATAGGTTTCAAAGTCCCTGTCCTAGCACCAGTTCCCTCTGACTTTGTTAAATCCACAGATTATGCTTTGAGAGGTTTTGAAACTTTTTACCAAAACTGTGATAATGAATTTAAGGTGATTGTTAATACACTTGTAACTTTCTTATTAATTTCTACCGATATTAAATACAAAAAAAAATCCAGTCTGTCAAATGATAGTCATATCATGGTCATTACATGCAGAGATACTGGAATTTTCCTTTTTTCTTCTCACACGGAGAGTAGGTGCCAATCATTTTCATATCTTTCAATATAAACCTCTCTACTTAAATGAAATAATAAATGTTGTTAATGGGCATTTTGGTTCTGTCTGCATACTGTAGTTAAATTGTGTTTTAAGTGTAAAAGAGATGATTTGGGAAGAGTATTCAAAAAGCAGCTCCAGGATACATTCCTTAGTTTGCTTCCTCATTCCCCTTCCTTTTTTTAATGCACTTAGGACTTCACATAGTCTGCACTTTTCTGAGATATTGAATTAGAATGCATGTTTACTGGTAATTTTTGCCTTTTCAAATTATCTCCTGCTACAAAACTATAGTTAAGACATTTGTGAAGTTTATGACTTTCAGTTTATTTTGTTTTTAGATGATATCTTGTTTTGCTCTGTTTTTTATAGGAATTAAACCATTTCAGTGTGACCGCTGTGGGAAAAAGTTCACCAGGGCTTACTCGCTAAAGATGCATCGCCTAAAGCACGAAGGTAAACGCTGTTTCCGGTGCCAGATATGTAGTGCCACTTTCACTTCCTTCGGGGAATATAAGCACCACATGAGGGTTTCCCGGCACATTATCCGCAAGCCTCGGATTTACGAGTGCAAAACATGTGGCGCCATGTTCACCAACTCTGGAAATTTAATCGTGCACCTGAGGAGTCTGAACCATGAAGCGTCAGAGCTAGCAAACTACTTCCAGAGCAGGTGAGGTGCACAACGAAAACCCAACCAGGAAAACTCCTTTCTAAACTCTCTTTTCCTGCTTTTAGGGCAGCCTGCTGTGTTTTTTCATCAGGTTGCCAGCTAGTCAGTCACATTCGTTTTAAATTCCCACTGTCCATACTCTGATTTCCTTATCTGATAAAAATTTTCTGAGACTTATGAGTATATAAAATTATAAATATTTTATAGCTGTTATTTAAAATATTTCTCTACAGAAGTAGACTACTTGTCCACTTTATTTTATTTTATTTTTTTTGAGGTGGTGTCTCACTCTGTCGCTCAGGCTGGAGTGCAGTGGCACACTCATGGCCACCCCAGCATTGACATGCTGGGCTCCAGTGATCCTTCTGCCTCAGCCTTGCAAGCAGCCAGAACTACAGACGTGTGCTGCCACCCCTGGCTAATTTTTTTTTTTTTAATTGTAGAGACAAAGTCCTGCCAAGTTGTCTGGGCTGGTCTCAAACCCGCAGACTCAGGCAATCCACTCATCTCGGCCTCCCAAAGTGCTGGGATTACAGGCTGAGCCACCGAGCCTGGTCCACTTGATATTTTTTTAATACAGTAAGGTTAAAGTAAATCTGTAGTATATCTTAAATAGATCTTATTGGAAAATTTACCATATCAGATGACAGTGATATTAGATTACTTCAGACTCTGGATGTTAATAAAATTCTTGACCACTTCTCTCTTTTTAAAAATTTTATATAAAGGAATATCTATTTACCAATAAGAGAAATTTCAACAGCAACTGTTATGATGGATATTATTGTTTAGATCAAATAAAATCTCTAATTGCATTCCATTTAGAGCTCCATTTTTTAAAATATTGATAATTAGTATTAGTGTTACCTTTCTGATTTATAGGGCATCCAAGGAAATCAGGTTTTAGTTCTAGCTCTAATCCCTAACTGCTATTGATTGAGCATGTCCCTTTACAGGTGAGGAAGTTTGAAACTTTTAAAATATAAACTTTAATCAAGATGTTTCTGAGGCTTCCTCTAGATACAGAACTCTGTTGTCTTTTTATATAGTTTATAAGAATTGTACTTTTATAGGAATCCTTAATTTCTCATAAAATGAAATTTTTCTAAATGTTTACATTTTTAAATTATCTTTATCTTTAAAACCTTTTTTTAAAAAAATAATACTACATGAGTTTCACTATGTTTCCCAGGCTGCAGTGCAGCAGCTATACACAGACACTTAATCATAGTACATAATGACAGCCTGAACTTCTGGATTCAAGCAATCATCCTGCCTCAGCCTTCTGAGTAGCTGGGGTTACAGGCAAGACACATGCCACCACACATGGCAAAAAACCTTACTTTTAAACAAATCACAAATTATTCCTGCATAGATTTCATTTTTCTCTTCAAATTAGACATTCATCTTCTTTACTACAGTCATTTCTAATTCTGAATGTGTGCTTGTCATATTACTAAATCTAGGTTAAATATATCATATTAAACAGTTTGTTCAAAACTAAAATAGCCTTGCATTAACCACCCCTGTTGCCTGTATCTTCCCTGTATAGGACCCTGTATCTTCCACTTCTCTTGTCTAACACCTGAACATTTTTTTTAGGAAATAGAATTCTAAATTGCTTTACAGATGAGTAGATTTTAATGTTTTATTAATACTGAGTAATCAAATTATAACTGATTAAGCATATTATTTATTGACAGCCCTAGTACAATGAATTTTTTATTTATTGACAGTCCTAGTACAATGAAATTTTTATTTTTTAATTCAGTTATTTGATAAAGATTTAAATAAAACTCCCTAAGAAAGACTTATTTCATATGTTTTTTGTGTTAACTACCAAGCAGTGCTTAAAGTAGAAAATCTTAAAAATTTGGAAAAGTGTAAAGAACTTTAAAATCTTTTCAGATTTCACCCCTTGGGGAAGAGATCCACTGTTAAATTTTTGGTATATTTTACTGTCCATGTTTTCTGTAGAGATCCATAATTAAATACTTTTGAGGATTAATGTGTAACCAATCTCAAGGCATTCATTTTGAATCAAAGGTAATTTGTTGCTCTTGTGATATACCAAATATAATAGTAGGCTACACATAAATAATTTTTTGTATTTTTCAACTTTATATAGTAGATTTTGTATAAGGACTTAATTTCTTTTTTCTGTTTTTTGGTGTTTTTTGAGTCAGAGTTTCACTCTGTCACCCAGACTAGAGTGCAGTGGCATCATTGTGGCTCACCGTAGCCTCAACTTTCTGGGCTCAGGCAGTCCTTCCACCTCAGCCTCCCAAGTATTTGGAACTATAAGTGCATGCCGTCATGTCTGGTTAATTTACTTCTGTGTTTTGTTGGAAACAGGTCTCACTATGTTGCCCAGGCTGGTCTTGACCTTTTAGGCTCTAGTGATTCTTCCACTCGGTCTTTCAAAGTGCAGGGATTATAAGCATGAGACACCATTCCTGGCCAGGACTTAGTTTCTTAACTAACTTATATCAAGTTCTAGTAAGACAATGCTAGTTTACTCTCTGTAGCTAAGGAAAGTTTAACATTTGAGCTATTCAGATAATCTTTGCTTAAGTGAGCATGGTATATATGTTTTGTGTATAGAAACTCCTCTACATCGAACAAGAAAGGCTGTGTAGGTGTCCAAAATTACGGTGAAAGTGATAATTGTCTGATGCATTGGTGGTAGGGAGAGTTGATAGGCTTGGCTTTTAATGGATGACTGTTCATACTTAAGGAAGTTTGTAAATTGAAAGTTGCTGACTGAACTTCACTGAAAAATTAGCGAAATAAAAAGTCCCAATCTTGTTTTATAAATCAAATCTTTTTATTGTTGCTTATCTATTACTGGTTGGAAAATTAACTCCATATTTCATCTTTTGCCTCTTATCTAGTGATTTCCTAGTACCGGACTACTTAAACCAGGAGCAAGAAGAGACCCTTGTTCAGTATGATCTTGGAGAACACAGTTTTGAGAGCAATTCCTCTGTTCAAATGCCTGTAATTTCACAGGTCTCCTCAACCCAGAATTGCGAAAGCACTTTTCCCTTGGGGTCTCTTGGTGGGCTGGCAGAAAAGGAGGAAGAAGTGCCAGAGCAGCCAAAGACCAATGCTTGTGCTGAGGCAACCAGAGATGACCCCCCAAAATCAGAGCTGTCTTCTATAACTATTGAGTAGTGTTGGTGTTTGGCTTCATTTTTGGTTTTTGGAAAGTGCCTGTGCTTGGTCTTGTACATTTAAATTTAATTTAATTTTTTAAACAAACAAAAAAAAAAGGTTGGGAAAAATTTCCCTTTTTACTTTCTAAGCCCTTCACCTGATGTTTTATTTTTTGTAACTGAGAGATTGCTTCTGTAAGTACACAATAACATGATGTTGAAACATAATAGAAACTGAGACTTAAGGAGAACCAGGTGACTTAAAACATGTACCAGTTTCTTGTTCCATTGTTAGAAATAGGTAAACAACACATCCTTAGAGAAGAAATCAGATGATTATTGACGTTCCTGAAATGAAAGAGAGGGTACAAGAGAAACAAATTACTAAACAGAATTTGACAAATGGCCTGAGTAGATATTCACTGGTATACGCAGGACGTTGTACAATATTTTGTAAAGCCTGTTGTTTGGGGAGGTATTTATGCTAAGCTTTCTTAAAATTATTAGAGTAAATACTTCTGAAATTCAGTATACTCTTTTTTTAAGCTTTGTCATTTCTATTATTTTTCATGGTAAAAATTTGGTATTGAGTTAGACATTACCTGTACCTTTATAGTATCACTCCAAAGGTAAAGAACCATAATTGAGAACAGTTAAGCTGTGGATGAAATGACCAGGAGTGGAGAAAAGTATGTAAATCCCAGCTTCATAGGAACTCTTTTAATACTGTTTTTCTTACTAAAATTGATGTTTACGTGGCCTTTGAATGTTAATGCCTGAGTAATTAGGTAATTATCCAAATCAGTTTTCTCCTTGTCCCATCAGCAATACTGGGGGTGCCCCCCAAAAATGTATACACTTTTTTTTTTTGAGTCAAAGTCTTTATCGTCCAGGCTGGAATGCAGTGAGTGGCACACTCACGGCCATCACTGCCTCAACCTACTGGACTCAGGTGATCCTTCTGCCTCAGCCTTCCAACTAGCTGAAACTATAGGCGTACACCACCATGCCCAGCTAATTTTTTTTTAATTTTACTGTAGAGGTGAGTCCCCACCAAGTTGTCCAGGTTGGTCTCGAACTCCTAAGCTCAGGCAGTTCTCTCACCTCTGCCTCCTAAAATGCTGGGATTACAGGCGTGAGCCACTGCTCCTGGCCTATATACACATTTTAAGCAATGTTATCTATGTATTTTAGTTTTCGTTAAAAGTGTCTAGATGCTGATGGTAACCACTGCTGATGGTAACCACTTTGAGCATCTCTTGTAATTGTAGAAGTCAAATATGACTTGTATTTCATCTTTTGTTACTGGTATATATTGAGTATTAAAATTGTAATACAGTTTTTTTCCTTTCTTAAAATGTGTATACATTTTTTTGGGCCACCTTCTCTTCTATTGCATATACTGGTGTGCTACCATATAAAGGAAAAATATTGGAGATGCTGTATTTACACAATAATGTAAAAGCAATAATGTAAAAGATGAGAAGAGGATGTAAAACAATCATCCGTGACCATAAATCTGTGGGAGAAGAAATAAAACTTTTAAGATTAATGAAAAACTAAAAACCTTAAATTAATGAATATTACCTTTCTTCTGCTAAAAATATGAAACTTCTGGTTTATAGTTGAAATTTATATGATGTTCTAGACAGGTATACGTTTTATCTGATGCCATTAAAACATCCCTCACCTTGATCCCAAATATTCATGAGTCCATAAATAATGAACTTTTGATTAATTTTCTGTGTAGATACCCAAACAATTATCAAAACACAAGATCTGACTGGGTGCTAGTCCTCACTAAAGTATTTTTTAGTTTATGGCAGTTGAATTGTTTCATTTTTTAAAATTGGTTAATCCTTTCTATCTGTACCCATTTTCTGCTGCCCTTAATTTATTTTCAACTCTACCTTTATCTGTGAATCTGTTTTTTATCCATTTTCTCCCAAACATAGATGTGTGTTACCTTCAGGTAAATCAGCATATACAGGTAATGATGGGCTTCCACCATTTATGCTGCTTTACTGATAGGATTGAATTACATTCTGCAACAGACTGTGTTAACGGTACTGCTGTGTCTCAACTGGAAAGGTCAGGAATTTTTATTTTTAATGTCACAGTATAGTCTTTGAAAACTGTTATTCCTACCAGTAGAAAAATCTCAAAATGCAAAAACTGTTTACAGATTTATTGGTTTAAAGTGTTTTTACAGAAAACCAAATACTGCAAGTTTTAAACATTGGGCATACCTGGGCATTAAGATGGGAACATCAGACACGGTGACTCCTAAAGGGGGGAGGCCAAAAGGGGGACAAGGGTTGAAAAATTACCTATTGGTACCATGTTCATTATCTGAGTGTCAGGTTCAGTAGAAGCCCAAGCCTCACCATTATATAACATACCCACGTAACAAACCTACACATATATCCTTGAATCTAAAAATTTTAAAAAAAAATTTCTTTTTTAAGTGTTATTAGTATGTTCCCTGTCCTAAGAACTCAACATTTAAGAGAGCCCTGCACAATATTGGTAGCTCTAAGGTACAGTTCTGATTGTATTCTCAGAATGAAGGCTCACCTATCACTGGGTATTCTTTCCCAAATGGAAACTAGATTTTCATTGGTAATTACAAATTGCACAGATTTCCAAGTTTTATGAATTTTTGTCAGTACCAGTAACTACCAGTACTTAACATAAAATGATACAAGCAAAGGCCTTTTTCTGTTTCAGTGAGACCACAATTTTCTTGATACATGATTTAAGGATTTTTGGTTTATGGATCTGTTTTTGGAAACAAAGCTGCAAGGGATAATTGTATATGCAGTAGTATTTAGATTTATTTAAAATTAATCTAAGAGAGGGATGCCTAGATGTATAATTTTTACCAGGACATATGGAAACCATTGCAAAGATATGAAAGTCAATTATATTATCTCATGTATTAGAAATTACCAGTATAACTAGACATAAAAATATTCCAGGCTAGAATATTTAAGCATAGCTATCTTTCTTAAAACCAGTAGGGTAACTTTGTGATATTTAAGGGCTTAAATTTTAGAATGCAGGATAAATTGCCTTTTTAAAGCCAAGCATTTTATAAAAGAAAAACTTTTATTTTCAATTTTCTAACTACCAAATAGGTGTGATAGACTTTGAAAGTCAGCAAAGATGTTTCCCCACGATACTAGATGTAATAGCTCCTGCAGTCATTTTCATTTTTAAAGGATGTATTCTATGTCAGTGATTCTACTAATTCAGAAATGAAGGGATTAATATTTGTCTTTTTTTATTATAAGTTTTATAGAAAATGAATGTAGATGGAGGTTAAGTAACCTTGTTATTTCAAATAGTTACACATTTAGTTCCATTGCCAGTTTTTTTTAAAGTTCTCAATTTCACTGAGACAAAATATACTAAGATATTTAAATAGCCTCATTCAGTCTTACATTTTAACATTTCAGCAACCATTCTAGCCTACAGTAACTAGGTCCCATGCACATGCCCTTTGGTCTTTTTTTTTTTTTGAGTTGGAATCTCACTCTGTCGCCCAGACTGGAGTGCAGTGACTGCTCCCGACCACCGCAGCCTCGCCTGCTGTGGGCTAGCGATCCTTCCACCTCAGCCTTCCAAGTACAGGCGCACGCTACCACACCCGGCTAATTTTTGATTTATTGTAGAGATGAGGTCTCGCCAAGTTGCCCAGGCGGGTCTCGAACCCGCGAGCTCAGGCAATCCACTCGCCTCAGCCTCCCAAAGGTGCAGGATTACAGGCTGAGCCACCGAGCTTGGCGCCCTTTGGTCTTAAAAGCAAAAACCATTTTGTTAAAATATGTTACCAAATGGAATGGACTAGTCAACATATCTAATGTACTTAATTATTGGTAACCTAATAGTTACTAATAATTATTTAGCTTCTAACTACTGAGCCAGATACTCTCAGTCTATAAATGGTTTCCTGGGATCCGTTGGAAGTGTATTAAATCTTTGAGTCTTTTTATTTTCTCTTATTTTATTCTCAATCTAAATAGATGTCAATTAATCTCATTTAGTAGCTTTTATTTTGAAGATTTTCAGATCATGTTTTAATCTCTTTTAGCTTTGTAGTCCCTGAAAAATAAATCACTGGATAATTAATGGCAATTCTTACCATGTAGAATTATTTTTATTATTTAATGAATAAACAATCCTAAAATTTTAATATTTTAGCCAAAAGAAGTTTGAGATTTGTGGAATTGATGAACAAGAGAATTAGAAACTTTCATGGGTTACTTTCACTCATCTGAAAAATATGAAGTTGCAACTCTGAAATATACATCCAAGAGAATGAGAATTAAAAATTTTTTAGATATTGATGTTAACTGGGGAAAAAAAACTAGTACAGTTGACATTTTGAACAGACCCAAAGTTGCCAAAAGGTAATATTACAATGCGGTTTTCATAAAAGTTGCTTTATAGGTAATATATTTAAATTTGGAAAGTTATCGAGAGAAGAATGTATAAAAAGTAATTCTTATTTTCCAAAGCAGTAGAATAAAATTGGAATGAGGAAGCTTTATTGTGGTAAATATGTCTACAAGGAATATATATACTTCCACAAGCTTAGCTTTAAACTAAGATCATGAAACTTTAAATTGTTCCTTATTTTGTCTATACCCATTTTTATCTTTTAGTGACCTTTTTTTGCTTGAAAGAATGTGGTAACATAGGGTATTTTTACTTCAAAGTCCTCAGCAAGACAAAATAGCCAAAAGCAATAATGGTTCCAATTAAATTATGAAGTGGAATTGAATCAATCCTCAGGTTCAACTAAGGAAACTCACTCTCTTTATGTTTCACTTTAGATTATAGATATATTGAGATGCTGTCATCAAATTTATACGGGGTTAAGCCTATGTCAGTTACAGGATGAAGATTTGTGGCACCAGTCCCATTAGTAGTTGTGCTTTTATTTTTACTTTATACTAAACTAATCCAGTTAACTATTTCCACTATATCACTTTTATGATAGGGAAAAAAGTTCATGATTTTACAAATAGTCAGATGTTATTGAAGTGTTTGGCAGTATCCAAAAAATTGATACTGCCTCTAAAGTGTTTGTGCTACTATTAGTTAAGCAAGTACCTTCTGTATAAGACCCAGGCCAGTTCCAACTAACACCAAGGCTCCTGAGTACATAATAGTTTACAAAGAGCTTAAGGGGGATGACCATGTATCAAAAACAAAAAACGAACAAAAATTTTTTTAACTTAAAAATTTTAAATTTTAGTGTGGTCTGGTTTATAAAATCAAATTCTTTTGTTATTTTATTTCTCTGTTAAATTGACTAATTTTGCTAATTAAGCTTTGAAGTCCTAGGCTCAGTTGGCTGGTTAATTGATAAAATCACTTCTTAATAGTTTGAGGATCTGCAGTGTCATGGCTTTTATTAAATTGTCTTTGTTTTCCCAAATGCCAGTCTAACCGTATCCAGATTTTGTTATTCAATTAGACAAGTTAAAAATCACCCTGTAAACAAATGTTCAGGTTACCAAAGTACATCACCTGCTGAGGGAAGGATAAATCTTCCTGCTTTAAGAGAACCCTTTCATCTGCTTTTAACACAATTCCCTTGATATTAGTGGAAGCTATGTTGACTTTAAGATGGGAAGCCCTTCATGCAGTTCTTAGAAACACTTGCTTTCTAAAGAGAACCTTTCTATTTTTAGGTTATGTGTATTTTTTCTAGGAGATGTCTTTTTATTTCCGTTATAAATTTTAATTTT